TCACGTGACGCGCCCCTGCCAACAGGTCGCCCCAGGCGGGGCCCGCGTGTCACCGGGGTGGAGGGTGGGGGCGTCCCCTCCCAGTCGTGGACGTGACAAAGAGGTGAGACCGCCGCCTGCGCTCAGATTCTCCCCGAGGTGGAGGTGTCTGGGCTCGCCGGGCTGCTCCGCGCTCAAGTTGGCGACGACCCCGTGGCACTCCGCCTGTCGTAAAGGACATGGCCCCAGCCGGGCTCTTCAGAGCCTCCAGGCAGGCCTTTTGGCTGTGGGACTATACTATTACACATACACACCGGGTTTGGTGTTTTGTTTTGTTTTGTTTTTTAAATATCAGAAAGGTCTTTTCCTTGGGAGTGTTGGAAATGTCACCTAGTTTTGTTTATCACGACTACTAAAACGCGCCACAGACGTTCCTGCCTGTCTAAATTTAGATCTCAAGCAGCCCGGTACTCATTTTCCACGGTGTCCAGTACGACAGGAAACACATAGCTTCAGTGGAATTTGAAAAGGGAAGTAGTAGGATGATGTCAACAGTGATTAACTTGACCCTACAAGGCTGACAACTCGGGACATGAAAGGTCCACACCATAGAAGGAAGTGAGCGGGTCGGTAAATGGAGAAGTCCCATTCAGGGAGTCAGACATCAGTACCTGCGATCTCCCCTGGTTTAGTCTTTCTTCCCTTTGGCCTCTTTTCTCCTCTTGTGTGAGCCAGATTTCCATGGAAAGATATTGACGCTGCCCGGTAGGCATTTTAGAACGGTATGACATCCTGAGACTCCGATCTATGAAAGCCAGACGATCTATTAACAAGGCCTTTTAAAATGTTACTAATGCTCTCTACGTTTAACTCAGGCTTAGGGATAAATGTTCAATTCTCTGTGAATGTTAACTTAGCATCGTGGTTATATGTAATCTTGCTAGTTTCAAGTGAAATGCTAGCGTAGTCGAAATCTGTGTACACCATCTGCCAACCAAATCTAGAACACTGTGCTGAAATCTGTTGACTCTCAAAAGATGAAAAAACTAATAGACGTTTAAAATTGTATGTATCAGGAATTCAATTCCTTTTTTTATTTTACACACACACACACACACACACCACTATGGCGCTATGGCTGGTTGAAATTCTGAAACACCAATGCTTTGCCAAGAACTCACAGTTCTTGAGCCTGCAGGTTTCATTCTCAGCAAACCAGCTTGAAATTTCACAAAACTGTAAGACTCCCTTCGGTGCATCTGCAGTCCATCTGGAGTTTGGTGCCCCGTGTTTATCGGGCAGCTGAATGGCCAGATTTTATTTTATTTTTTGCATTTGTTTATGATGTGCATGCATGTATGCATGTACACATGTTGATGCACATGTGTGAGTACAAATTTTAATCTGTCATAATCCCTTTATTCTCAAACTGTTCTAGTAATTTCTTAGCTAATTTCTCTATTGTTGTTTAACCCTCCAGTTGACAGTTTCTGAACCTATAATGGGTTTATTTGTCTGGGCATTAAAATTTTCTACAAATTCTATGTAGATGTGTCTCCAAGATGTGCCTACTCATCCCCTACCCCACACCACCCATCAATGTGTTGGGATTTAATCCTCAACTGTGCTAAGAGGTGTGGCCTAATGGGAAGTGTTTAGATCATAAATGGATTAATGCTAATTAATTATAAGAGCCTTGAAGTTCCAATCCTCCCTCTCTCCCACTTTCTCTTTGCCTTGTGCCCTAGAATAATTAAACTCTTGATTTTGGACCTCCTAGCTTCCAGAACGAATCTATATATGTTTGTCAAAAGTTACCCAGTCTTGCTAGACAGTACTGGTACATGACCTTAATTAATCCCAGCACTCAGAAGGCAGAGACAGGTGGATCTCTGTGAGCTCAAGGCTGGGCTGGTCTACAGAGCCAGTTCCAAAATAGCCAGGGCTACACAGAGAAACACTGTCCCGAAAAACAAAAACAAAAAAATAAAATAAAATTACCCAGTCTGTAGTATTTCTGCTATAGCAACTAAAAAAGTAAAACACACTCCACTGTGGCTATCCCAGAAGATAAGAATCAGGTCTCTGAGCCATGGGAATAAGACTCAATGATCTACCCTGACCTAACTACTTACTGAGCCTCATCTGCTCCGTTCTCCTACGTGTATGCTGCCTACTACACTTAGGAATACCAGTTTGCTTTACAGCCTACTGGGAAAGAATCTCCTTTTGCTACTGGTAGTATCTGTACTTAGTTCCTTAATTACTGTATGGCTCTAACATAGGGAGGGGGAAAAGACTATGACTTGAATCTGGATTGTCCCCTACAGGATCATGTGTTTTATTTAAATTCTTCCAGCAGTCTCCAGCCATTCAGTCAGCCAGTGCAAGTTCATCTGTGCCTGGGACTCAGGGCTGGAGCAAGAACAAAGACAGGTATACTGTCTTCCTTGTCACTGTGGCCGAATGCTCATGAAAACCAAGCCAGCAAAGGAATGGCTTCTCGGGGCTCAAAGCTACCTAGGTAAAAGTGACTCTAGCTGCGGCTGCTGAGGCCTGGGGTAGGCGGCTGCTCATAGTGTCCTCAACCAGGAAGCAGAGAGAGAGGATCGCTGGTGCTCAGCTCGCATCCTCCTTTCCACTCAGTCCAGGACTCCAGATGAGATGGTGCTGTCTGTACTAAAGCTGGAATGGCTGGAGACTGGGGCTGGAGAGGGAGCACAGTGTTAAGACTCCTGTAGTAAGGAGGTCACTTGTTTGGTTCCTGGCTGCCCAGCTAGCTTAGACCATAAATAACCACACAGAAACTGTATTAATTAAATCGCTGCTTGGGCCATTAGTTCTAACTTCTTATTTGCTAACTCTTACATCTTAATTTAACCCATCTCCGTTAATCTGTGCATCACCACGACATCATGGCCACCAGCAAAGTTTCAATATGTCTGACTCTGGCGGCTCCACGATGTCTCTCTGACTCTGCCTTCCTCCTCCCATGCTATAGGCCAAGCCAGTTTCTTTATTCATTAACCAATAAAAGCAACATATAGACAGAAGGACCTCCCACACCAGACTACTTTCTATTCTTGAAGAGGACCAGAGTTGAGTTCCCAGCAGCTATGTTGGTTGAATCATAACATCTCAAACTTCAGTTCCAGGCAATCCAATGCCCTCTTCTGTGAACACACAGAGTTCACAGGAGCCTATAAATAATTTATTTTTATTTTATTTTTTAAAAAGAAAACAAACCATTTTTTTCAAAATACATGCCAATCCAAGTCCCCACTCCTTCCCCTTCTCCCATTCCCTCCACTTACCTCCCCCCACACACACAACCCCTCCTTCACTCCTCAGAAAAGGTAAGGTACATTGCTTTGGGAAAGGTCCAAGGTCCTCCCTACTATATCTAAGCTGAGCAAGGTATCCATCCAAAGAGAATGGGTTCCCAAAAAGCCAATACAAGCAGCAGGAATAAACCCTGGTGCCATTGCCAGTATAGGGCCCACTGGTAGTGTCACCTATAAATAATTTTTTAAAATAATTTTTAAATAATAAAAATTTAAAAATAAACACCTGGTCCTGGCCTGATAGCACTGCTTTGGGAGGTTGTAGGGCCTATGTGATGGAGGTAGGCCCTAGAAGGTGGGCCTTGGAGGGTTACCTGCTACTTCTGGTCCTGTTACTGCTTTCTGGTTAGTCCTTCATGTTAGGAGCTCTGTCACACGTCCCCACTAGCACAGCCCCACTCCACGTATTTCCCATTCCTGATGGATGGGATGAAGCCCCTGAAGCCAGGAGCAGCAATCCGTTCTTGCGTTGCTCTGGCCAGGTGTTTATCACAGCGCAGAGAACAGTAATGGACACCTACCCTCCAGCCACTGCTAGCAGCTGGTGTGAGCAGACCTGCCTAAAGACGGTGGATGGATGAGTGGAAACACACGTACTTAGATAGACAATCACTGCAAAGCTTCCATTTGATCAAATCTGCCCACTTTTTATCCATCCTATAATTATCTGTCGGAGGCATCATCCTTACTCAGTATTTTGTTAATTCCCTCTTTCAGAAAGTATGCACTGAACATTGACTGTGTGTCAGGCACCAATTTAGATGCTGTGTTCTGTTCTAATGGGGAACCCGCCAGTTCTATGGGAACTAACCTATTTTCTATTTCAGTCACCAACTTGAAGGCATGTTTGCTTTACAAATGAGCCGTCCCCAAACAGAAGGAAACAATGTGAAAGCATATGTTAGTTTCTTAGCTCTCTTAAATAAAAAATTATGTTGGAGAAAGTCCTGGAGTCCAGGAGGAAAGATCAACAGGTTTTTTAAATTTTGTTTTGTTTTTTTTTTAATGCCTCCAATGTACCTACCAACACAGCAAAACTTTTTCATGTAATTCTTCTTATAATAATTGCAAAAGGTATTGTACTTACCTAATACAGGAATACAAACAAGCCCAATAAAGTAACTGTCTAAATCCCACAGATTCTAAGTGGCAGAAATAAGGTTTAGGAACTTATTCTCTATTATGAGATATAGACCATTTAGCCAATAATTGAAGCAACTGACAATAGAGATTAAATTCATTCAACACATAGATGTTGTCTGTATTCATTGTGCTGCTTGTTGAATGTTATAATATGCAGACAAATATGGTGTCTGTTCTTAAACTTTGGTGGAATAGGGATTGTATTTGTAGGCTTTAGTATTTCTTCATTTATTTTGAAATAGGCTCTTAGTCTGTAGCTCAAAATTGTCTTGAATTTGCGTTTTATCCCAGGCTGACCACAAATCCATGTTCCTCTGACCTAAACTTTTTGAGTGCTGAGATTACTCACATGTACCTTTGGCCTGTTCTTAAACTTTTTGTTTGTTGTTTGGTGGGTTGGTTGGGGTTTTTTGTTTGTTTTGTTTTGTTTTGCTTTGTTTTTGCGAGACCGGATTTCTCGCTTTTTTGGAGCCTGTCCTGGGACTAGCACTTGTAGACAAGGCTGGCCTCAAACTCACAGAGATCCGCCTGCCTCTGCCTCCCAAGTGCTGGGATTAAAGACATGCGCACCACCACCCACTGTTCTTAAACTTTTAAAATCTTGAAGTAGGGTCCTGGAAAGATGGCTCAGAGTTAAGGGCATTGATTGCTTTCCCAAAGAATCTAGGTTCACAGCTAACAATGTCTGTAACTCAAAGATCAACATGCTCACACAGATTTACCTACAGGCAAAAGAAAAAAAAAGAAAAAAAAAACCAATGCACATAAAATAAATAATTTTTTTTTAAAAAGACAAGAAAAACTTCTTGAAGTAAGAATTAAAATGCATGCCTGACCTGAAGATCCTGATAAGCCTACGACCTAAAAGTAAGAAAGCCAGTCTGGCATGGTGGCTCACACCTCGGAGGCCAGTGATGTCTACATAGTAAGACTCTGTCTCAAAAAGAAAATAAAGAGAGTGACCAAAACTTTTATAGTTACTACTTCATTTAAACCTATCTTGAGGTCCAAGGAGAGCCTCCTCTGTCTTCACTGTCCTCAGACATTATTGTTGTTTACTAAATTAGACCCCTTTGACATTGTATTAACTAGGTTGATAAGAACATCCAGCAACTCACTTCTCCCTTATCTTTAGCTACTTACTTCTCTACTTAATGACACAGCCAAGTGAGTAAAAGATCGCCTTATGTAACCCACTTTCCTTTGTAACAGAGAACTCAAGCAAGTACTCCATTTCAAGTGAGGGAGACTAATTCCAGCTCTCAGCATACATACTTGCAATAATATTAGCATGCTAGTGTTGATTACTTATTCTGTGCCAAGCATGTAACATGCATTCCTCCTGCACTCTTAAACAGCTTCATGGCTTCAAGGAGCACAGACATCTGATGACCAAATGGTTTCTTTCTTCTGCTAAGCATGCAGTTAGACTGTTTCCTGGCCACCTTTATGATTAGCTGGGGCCAAATGCCTGATGTCTGTCCAAGAGAACATGGGCTGAAAATGATGCTGGTTTGGGCCATGAGCCCTGAAAACCTCTAACATGTGTTCAGCATTCTTTCTTCTCCTACTCCCAGCTGAAGAGAGCTTCAGAGAATTAAGAAGTTGAAACCACAACATGAAAGACACCTGGAGTTCGTAGGCAAGTCATCGGAGAATGTTGACCAGGAGAGTTAGGTGGCCAGGAGCACCTAGAGTAATATATTTGTTCATTAAAGAATAACTGAAACATCTCAAACTGTTACCTGAAATGAATCTTCTTATACTGTGAAATGCCCTATAATACAATTCAAGAGCAGGTGTTATTAATCACTCTTCCTGCTAATGCTTGGCTATTTGGAGCTTTTGTGCTTTATATGAACTTTAGGATTCTTTTCTTTTTCTTTCTTTAATTTTTATTTTTTGCTTGCCTTTTTTTTGAGACAGTTTCTCTGTGGAATAGCCCTGGCTGTCATGAAACTCGCTTTGTAGACGAGGCTGGCCTTGAATTCATAGAGATTTGCCTACCTCTGCCTCCTGTGTGCTGGGATTAAAGGTGAGTGCCACCATACCCATCTGGGATTTTCTCTTTTTCAAGTCCTGTGAATAATACGACTGGATTTTTGTAGAGATGTTATTGAATCAGTAGATCACTTTCAATGATGTGGCTATTTTGACATTACTAACTGCCATTTCATGAATATAGGACATTATTCTATCTTCTAGTGTCTTCAATTTTGTTTGTCATTGCTTTAAAGGTTTATATTGTAGAGGTCTTCCCTGTTTAGGCTTTTTCCCAGTTGTGATACTTAATCTTGATTGTCAACTTGACATGATTTAGAATCACCGCTGTCTTACTTAATGATTCTATTGCTATGAAGAGACACCATGACCATGACAACTCTTATAAAGGAAAACATTTAACTGAGGTGGAGGCTTACAATTTCAGAGGTTCAGTTCTTTATCATCATGATAGGAAGCATGGTGCTGGCTACATCTTGGTCTGAAAGCAAGAAGTTGACTGAGACACTAGGTAGTATCCTGAGCATAGGAAACCTGAAAGCCGGTCCCCACAATGACACACTTCCTTCAACAAGGTCATAAATACTCCAACAAAGCCACACCTCCTAATAGTGCCACTCCCTATGGGGGCCCAATTGCATTCAAACTACTGCAACCACAAAAACAATTCTCTTGACATGTCTGTGAGTATTTTCTAGGGCAGGTTCATTGAAGTGGGGAAGATTACCCTAAATGTGAGCCAGGTTCCATGCCCTGGGATCTCTGACCGAATCAAAAAGAGAATGTGAGCTGGGCAGTGGTGGCACACACCTTTAATCCCTACTCTTGGGAGGCAGAGGCAGGTAGATCTTTGTGAGTGTGAGGCCAGCCTAGTCTACAGAATGAGTTCCAGGACAGCTAGGACTGTTACACAGAGAAACTCTTTCTGGAAAAATAAAGTGGGGAGGGGCATGTTCATCACTCTACTTCTGACTGTGGATACAATGTGACTAGCAGCCTCAAGTTCCTGTTGCCATCACACTCCTGCAAGGATAGACTGAATCCTTGAACTACAACCCCAAATAAGCCCTTCTTCCCTTAATTTGCTTCTGTCAGCTATTTTATCAGGACAAGAAAATGAGTAACTAATACATGTTAAGTATCTATAGGCAAGGGCTTTCTGAAAAGTGCTTTCGTAGCCCCAAATATAATAGCAAGGTCAACAGTGGGATTATATCCAGTTAAAAATCTGCATAGCAAATACATTGATTAATAGAGTAAAGAGATTGCTAAGAGAAAGGGGGGAAATCTCTGTCAACTATACATCAGATGTGGAATTAATATCTGTACGACAGAAGGAATTCAAAAAGTTAAACACTAGGAAATCACAATCAATAAATAGGCAAATGAATTTAATACATGGTTCTCAAAAGAAGTACAAATTGCCAATAAATATGTTAACATTCTTAACCATCATGGATCAGTGAGGTTCCATGTCCTCCCAGTCAAATGGCCATCACATAGGAAACAAAGGCAAAGAAGGAAGCAGAGTACGATCCATGTATGTGAGGATGAGAAGCAGGGAGTGTGATCAAAGTGTGTGTGTGAAGGATCAGTGGAACCCACTACTTTGTCCAACAAATATACACTGTTTTTAAAAAGACAAATGTAGGACTAGAACTTTAATCTGAAGCTTTTCTCAGGGGACGAGCCTTGGCTTGAGCTCCCACTGTGGTGGCTCAAGCTTCTGATCCCACCAACTAGGCAAAAGCAGGAAGATTGCCATGAGTTTGAGGCCATATTACTCTAAAGAATGAGTTCATGTCTCAAAAACTGAAGGAGCAAAAGTGAGAGAAAAGAGGAAGAGAATTTGGAGGGAAGAGAAGGAAAGATCATTTTATATAAAGGGAATAATAAAATGACTTAGCCAAGAACAAGTTGAACTTGTTTACATAATAGAAGGCCAGTGTGGCCAGAGAGAGTAAAGAAGAAATAGAAGCTTAGGAGGTGACCCCAGGGATATTGCCAGGTTATGAAGGTTTTTATAAGGCATGTTGAGAACTCCAGATGGTATAAATAGGTAGCCGTGCAATAGGAACAGCTGACAACTGAAGATTCGAAGGATCTTCCCATCTAAGAACACTGGAACAAGACCCCACTAAGGATCATATTCTTCTCTGCATGCTTCTCCTCTTGGTCTTGTGTCTTTATCATCTTGGCTATTGTATCCCCTTCTTTGCTAATGGGCCCCGTTTTCCTTTACTTAGGATTGTTCCTGAGACCATAACCTCAACACTGACCAGGCATGGGGCTAACTCTTCAGACTCTGGTAAGGTTAAATTACGACTACAAAGATTTTAAAAAGAAAAAACAAGATACTTGATTCTCTAGGAAAGGTCTAAATAGTTTATAACACATAGTTTTATTGTCTTTTTTAACAAAAAAATTCCAGGGTTATAGCTTTGAAATGCCTTTAAAGGTCTTGTATGTTATTGTCTAGGCAGGTAATGCTATATGTAATCAGATACATGCTTCTCAGTTATGAACACTGCTTCACAGCCAATGTTACAAATGAACATCCAGCCAAAAGAACAAGAATGCCTGGTACTTGATGGAGTCAGGATGACTATCATGAAAAGGATGTACAAGTGTAGCTTATCAAATGAGCAAGTCTGGATTGATCACGGATCAGAAAATTATGGTATTTCTTCTAGACTGCAGAGAAGGTTAACTGAAGAGTAAGAAATGAAGCATACATTAATAATTGGCAAAAATAGATCAGTTGTATCTTCCGTGGCATGCAAGCTTAACTATCAAAACTTTATGTACTTATTTTAGTTAGTTAAGACTGTACGCCAGGCTGGCTGAAACTCCTAACAATACCCCTTATCTGTGCTTCTCAAGTGCTGGGACTACAGGTGTGAACCACCATGACCCTGTCTAACAATTTTAAATTTTCTTGATTAAGTGAAACATATTAAGATTATACCTATCCTCCAACTCCTTGGTTCCCCACTCCTACCCCCCACCCTAAGTACACTGTGTTGACATTTAGGTTCACCGAAAGTTTGAGTATAGAGCACTGGTTTCCTATGTGGGGGGAAAGCGTCCCCAAACTTGCACACCCTCCCCCACTGTGACACCATAGGCTGCAGAGTTGCATTTTGACAAAGCGTGTCACATCATTGTTACCTAACACAGAGTTTCCACTAGGCTCCACTCTGGGTACTGCACATTCTATAGGTTCTGAGAGATACACGATAATCTGAGTCTTCTTACAGCACAAGAGAGTATCCCTGCTCTGAAAATCCTCTGTGCTCAGCCTGTCTACCTGCTGCTGCGGCTAATACAGCATTTCACTGATACCAGAACATAGATGCACTCTAGAAATCCCCAGGCCTTCAGTGCCAGACTGGGACTGCTGAGACAGCCAACCTCATGGACTGGCGGCTGTCAGAGTCACAGCCTCTCCAGTGTGAGGACAGCCATGGCTGGACTACCCAGACTATACCGTATAAGCCAATCTAATAATCTCCTAGTGTACATTCATTCTGTTGATTCCGCTTCTTCTGTTCAGATTCTTATTTGCTTTGCCCTCTGACTTCACTGTTTAACTGATCCATAATACCTTGTTGATATTTTCATTTGTTCAACTTTTATTTATTTGGTGATTTTTTCATTTATTCAGCATTTGACCTGTTACAATAAAGTGGTAATTTCTAAGAAGTGTATGTCCAAGCTGGAATGGACATTGGAAGTCTTTGCATATTGATTTTTAGTTGCTCATGAGGCATTCAAATGAGCTAACTCTCTAAAATACCCAAGGATCCTCATGTAGAAAGATACTAATGTATCAGACGAGGCAAGCGTATGTATGAGTAGGGAAGTCATGAAATTATGCAGGTTAACTGAGAACAAGCCAAAGGCAGAGTAGTCTTGGGAAATCCCTACCTTAAAGAGACAGCATACAACAATGCACAGGCCCTGAAGCTAGCAGCTGCTCCAGTAAAAACGAAGTCTTTCCTGATACCTTCCCATTGCTCAGATGAATTTATCAAAGTTCATTACCTTTTACTCTTTTACACCTACACCTCCTACACCCCAATTAACTGAAGCAATTATATTATATAACCTGCTCGTCCTGGAATTTTTTAAAAAAGATGTAGACTTTTTACCAGTAGAATAAAGTGTCTCAGACTGGTCTGTGTGCGTGTGTAATGTGTGGGTGTCAAGGCCAGAGGTTGATGTGTATTCTCTGTTACCACTTTGCACCTTAGTTTTTGAGATAGGGTCTCTCACTGAACCTGGAGTTTTACCTTTTGGCTATACTGGCTCACCAGCAAGCCCCTGGACTCAGCCTGTCTCCATCCCCCAGCACAGGGATTAAAGACACAGGCTGTCGCACCTAGCTTTCACATGGGTGCTTGGGACCTGAACTCAGGTTCTCATGCTCGGGCAACAAGCACCTAACACACTGAGCCACCTCCCAGCCTCTCAGTGATCTCCCAGCTGTCTTTTAAATAAGGTTCTATATGTTATTCAATAAATCAGTTGTTTAAATATATCATTCTAAACAAGCACATTTGTATTCTAACTGATAATCAAGAAAAAGCTTTGAATACCAAATTCTAAACTTCCGAAAATAGAACTAAAATTTGAGATTCTGGAAGTTGCCAAGACATAGTAATATATCTTTATGCTACAGTAAAGGAGGGACAGGAAGGGCACATCTGCCAAACTTATAATTAAGTCACTTTGTAACTGATATGGCTTTAGTATATAAAGGAATGCTTGTAGGGATTTTTAATCAGATAAAAATAAGGTCATTGTTTTCTCTATACCAATTAACATAGTTGACATTTAGCCAGATCTTCCCTGGTCACTGCAGGGGGTGTACAGTTTGTCCTGATTCTGTGGGAATGAAAAATGAAGACCTTGCATGAGAAAAAAATGTGAACCCAAAAAATGTTGCCAAATATAGCAAGTCAAATTAAGTCAATTGATTTAGTAAAGGCTATGCTTTTGAGAGAACAAAACAGGAAGATGGTCTGAAATACTAACAACTGTAATAATAAGCAAGTATGAGTTTAACTGTTACTGTATGTTTGTAAAGAACATGTTTGGTTGAAGATATTCTGCTAGAATTCATGGTACAGCCTTTAACACACGTTTTAGAGAGGAGCTGAGAATTACTCGTATACAGTGTATGAGAACATGTTTAAAATTTTAATACAAAAGCACTGCTCGGAAATTTTAACACAAAAGCACTGCTTGGAATCATCCAGTGTCGTTCTTTAGTCCCCAGTGACTGTGGAGCTTACCAGTTTGGCTCGATTAGCTGGCCAGCAGGTCCCAGTGCTGACATTCCTGCAGGCGTACTCCATTGAACTCGGGACTTCTGCCTGCATGTC